TGAAAATCAAAATAATTATTATCAGTTAGCAAACTTACAAGTTAAATTTACAAAAGATAAAATAATTTTTGCCGTCCATATTCCGATTTTTCTTAAAGATATTTTTGAAATATTCCACCTGTTCCCAGTACCTGTGAATCACTCCTTAATTATACCTAATTCACCCTACCTAATATTGGGCACTGACATGCAACAATATCAAGAATCAATCTGCCCAATCATTGAAGACACCTACGTTTGCGAAAATCAACTTACCCAGCCCATCGGTGATTGTGTGACAACCCTCATTAAATATGCCGAAAACAAAAATTGCCACGTAGTCAATGTAAATGTTTCAACGCATATAATACGACCAATCACTAGTAGATTTGTTTTGATAATACCATCGGAACAGAAACTTAAATTACAAATGAATTGTCAAAACATAGAAATAGCTTTTATTGAAGAAGCCTGCCTAATCAATGTTCCATATAATTGTGGTATAAGTACCCAAAATACTGAGCTTTGGAATAAAGAAAAAATTTTTAAAGCAAACCCATTCTCACTGCCACCCATTAAAATTGAAAATATGGAACATCACGATGTAAAGTACCAGCCACTCCAACTACAATCGATTGATCTCAATACGATCAAAAAACTACGAGAAGCTGCGAAATCATCGATCCCCGACATTGGTTATGAAATTCATCCAGTCACTTGGAGTCTCGCCACTTCAACAGAAATGATGTTTATTTGAATCTTGTTAATAGTTATAGCATGGAAAATCTACAAGAGCCATTTGCTGCAAGATTCCAAGAAAACCAAGAACGACTAGTCTTCCGAAAACAACCCTTCGTCCCTGTTGTTTTCCACTTCGGAGGGAGGAATTATGTGATAGAATATGCTGATGAAATGCTAGCTTCAGTATTCCCAGTATCTGCGACGCAACGCTTGCATAAAAACTTTATATATATAACAACTTTGTACTTTGCGTTCAGTTCTCCTTGTAGCAGGTTAAATAAAACCTCGTAGTTCTGTTTGTAAAACAAAAAAAGTGTTTTTTAAAAACGAGATCCTTCGTTCGAAAACTTTAACTTGTTGCACACTATACTTTTTCTAGGATCTTTGGTTTTTGAGCACATTTTTGCAAAAACAATATGAATACATTCACTGACATGATCTTCATTATTGACAAACATCAAAATTCAAGCCGTGCGGTAAAATCTTCGAAAAGATTCAATTGCTCCCAAACTGGTGAGGTAATATCCCGGAAATATCCGAACGGGATCGGATCTGGACAAACATTTATGCGGTAAAGTGAGACTTTCCGCACGCTAGATCTATGCATGTGTTTTACAGAAGGAAGTAGAAAAACGATCTAATGTACATGTTAAGGATTGATATTAGGGAGACTGTATAGTAAGTATAAATGTGGAGGACCATATTTTCAAACATTGTAGGATAGGTGGCAGAAGAAAGGGCTTCGTAGATAACATCTTAATTCATTAGACGATAATTTCAGATACAGAAGGCTATCAAAGATCAGATTGTCAAAAAATCTAATAATTCCACTGACACTGAGCAATCACTTTCTGATTTTGCATGCAGATAAATAATTTGCTTACATTTTACGTTTATAGTACTTTCGACATAAACAAAAACAAAAATACGAAAACGCAGAATTGCTTTCAGCTGTCTAGAAAATCCGAGTAGCCAAAATGGAAACAAAAGAAACGCAACAAAGCTTCTAATGAACGTGACGTTAAAATTAAAGTTAAATCTCCCTGATTTCGCCTCCCGCGTTTATTGTTCGACTAGCTTCTTCGTTTAATTAAAATAAAAGCAATTATTTTTAAAGAAGTATCGCATTCTCGAAATTAATGACAGCTTATTCCTCGAAACTGAACCTAAATAACACCGCGTCGAAGTTAGTGTAAGCATTAACTTTAAATTCTAACTCTAACGAAAAATGAAAATACACTTACCAACAAAGTTAGTTTTTTTTTTTAATTAAAAAAACTTATTAATTGTGAAAAGCACGCATACGTGCTATTTATATAAAGAAGAAAGTACCATACATTTATAAGAAAGCGTAATACTAGCGTATTTGCTACAAAAATAAAATTATTAATGTGAATGAAAAACGAAATGAAGAGAAAAGAAAAAAGAATGGACCCCCAGTTTTTATGAGATATTTAGTCAAATTCGAAAAGAATCCTCAAAGATTTTCATCGTTGTGACAAGAAAAAATGAAAATGAGTGCAGTTTTGATACTATGGAAGCTATAATTAAATACACTTTATGTATTAACTTTATAAACAGGTTGGGGATTACCAATAATGAAGACAAATCAATAACTTGCGGATATTGCGTGCTGTTTTTCATAGGCCGCCAACATTATTAAGGTGGTTTTTATTAAATACTCTGTTATTTTACTCGCCCTTCTCCTTTGCGCTGCTCTTGCCAAAAATATATCTTATCAAAAATTAATCGCCCTCTATAATAACAAAATTGTATCTCCAAAATCACTTTCAATCTCCCCGAACGATATCAAAATAATCCGCGAACAAATTCCGTTCAAGTTTCAGAATTCCTTCGTATTTTAAATTCTTTGAGATCTCCATCCCGCAGCAGACTGATCAATCCCGACTGACTAATTCCTAAAAGTTCTTTGGGATTTAGTTCAGCAGTAAGTAGACAGTAATGGCACGTAATACGGCTCAAAGGATGAGGCTGAAAAGATTAAAGTACGAAAATTGTAATTTGTGGCCATCCCGCTCAACAATACTGGGAGCAAAGGCAATAAATTCTCAAAATTTCTCTCGCGTGCGTCGGAAAGGCCATGCAACAAACATCTATCTAGATAACGTGTCAACTAAAAGGAATAATTTCAAGTAGAATATAATTAACATTTAACACAATTAACATTTCCTTTCATGGGTTTTTTTAGTTTTGGGAACAGGAAAAAGTGGCAGGGGGCCATATCCGGTGAATATGGTGGCTGAGACATGATTGTGGTTTTGTTTTTGGTCAAAAAGTTAGACACAAGCAACGATGTGTGAGCAGGAGCATTATGGTGATGCGAAACCCACGAATTGTTTTCCCACAAATACGGACGATTTCTTCGTATTAGCTTCGCAAACGGTACATAATTTCAAGGTAATACTGTTTATTGATAGTATGACTTTGTGGTGAAAACTCTTGATGTACTACGTCACGATAACCAAAAAAACAGTAATCAAAACCTGGACATTTGATCGAACTTGACGTGCTTTATTCGGTCTTCGCGATTCAGGGTTTTTCCATTGGGATGACTGGGCTTTAGTTTCGACATCATAGCCATATACCCCTATACAGCTCTTAAACGATGTGCCTTCGACGGTCCTTTTGTTCAAAATTAAGCGGTTTCGGAACAAATTTTGCTGCTACACGTTTTATGTCCAAAACTTCGGAAAAAATTGCATGATACGAGCCAATAGAGATGCCGACATCTTCAGAAGCTTCTCTAATAGTGGTTTGACGATTTTTCAACACCACTTCTTCAATGTTTTCATCAATTATTGACGTGCTGGAGCGTCAAGAGCGAGGTTCGTCATCGGCGTTTTCTCGGTCATCTTGGAACAGCTGGTACCACTTATAAACATTTTTTTGCTCAAAGTAGATTCACCAAATGCGGTCGTCAATATTTCAAGTGTATACCACAGCACTGTATACCATATTTTGCACTAAACTTTATGTTAATTCTTTGTTCCAGTTAGGGAAATATGTGCCAACATAACAAAAAAAAATATCAAAGATCGAATGTACGTAGCCCGGCCAATTACAAAAGTCACCTTACTTTTTGCACACGCCTCGTATATCGTGAAGCACTCGTTTTTTATTTAACTAAGCTCTATTTCTAAAAAACTCTACTACAAAACCGTTAAGTAATGGATGTGGGGTAATAAAGATGACTAGACAACGGGGAATGGCAGAAATCCCAAAATGGAAATGAAATTTTCAATATAACATATAACTTACTTATCCTAGACCTAAGAAATCATGCGGTAAAACAGCGAAGATCTCATAGAATTTTTAATTAATTGCATACAACATGTTAAGAAAATACTGTCCCTTGACTGGACTGGTTAGTTTTGTGTTGCAGTTTTTTAAGTTGAAAGTTAAAAAAATATGTTAGTCTGTCAAATTTAAGATCGTTTATAAAGATGTTTCTTAATCTCCTTGGGTTGTTTTAATTTTCTTATACTTACTTCTTTTTGTGTGCCGCTGGTCATTTCATTATATTCTTTGTTTTTGTTGTTTTTGTTTATTATTTGTTTGTTAAGATATCTGCAGAAATGAAATTCGAAGAAACAGTGTAAATTGTTATAAGATATTTTCAAAATAAATCTATAGAGAGACACCAATGAAATATCGATTTCATATTTTTCGTATTATGGATAAGGAGATACAAAGCATCCTAACCCAATCCAATATGTAACAAAATTAGAAATATGTTATTTAATGGTTTTCAAGATTGGTACTCCGATTTCACTGAAATTGATTATATAATGGCATTAAATATGGCACTGAAAATATACAGAAACCTTTGAAAGAGTGCTATATTAAAAATTATTCAAAGTAGCTGTGTGATGTCAAAAACTGTGATGAAGAAGGACATATCGTGGTATTCAAAACCGTAATATATACCTTTTATCACATTTATTTCATTTAAAAAAAACTGGGAACTAGAAATTAATTCAAAACAAGCAGTTTTTCAGTATCTTCCTTTATCCGCATTGGTTACTTTTTTGAATTCTGGCATATCAAAAACGAAAACCAGTAAAGTCAGAACTATAATTTATTATGTTGTTGTGTTTGTCAGCATTGCAAAAAGTTGCCTACCGAAAGCAAGGAGAAAAGAAAACACCGTAATAATGGTAACATTAAAAATTACTACGGTAGAATTAATAAAAAAAACTTAAGTAAGTCGGAATCAGAACATGATCAGAGAGAAACAGAGACGAAAAGGCGACTGAAATATGCAGCCTCCATCGCAAGAAGTTGCTTCGTTTTATGAAAGCGAAGCGCCGGTCCTTGAGCAGTCAGTCAAAGTAAAACCGGGTAGCTTGAAAATATAAATAGTGAACTGATATAAATAGAAATATAAATTATTAGTCGAATTGAATGATATAAATTTTCTGGTCCGTTAAGTTCTACTTGAAACGACTTGTTTAATTTTTCAATTTCACCCTTTCCATTGACAAACCCGAATCGATTTTTTCCGAATTGAAGACGAACAAAATTGTGGCGCTTACTTCGATTGGCATTAGGAAATCTTTTTTATAGTGTTCCCATTCCGATGCTCTGGAAACTTTGTTTTTATTGACGAAATTTCCAACTAGCGATAAGTCAGCATTGGGAATGCAAATGTAAGTTCGGTGGCATTTTTATCGCTTGTCAAGTTCGATTTGTATTTGCAACTTTTTATCTGCCCTGACCCGATTCCGATTTATATTGCGCGATATCGATGCGGCACACGTAAAATGGTCAGTTTTGACCCCAAGGACAATTTGTATCAGGTAAAAAGAAAGGCAGATTGCCAAGCGCTCGTGCGGAAACTACGGCATCGTTAGATGGGTTTGCAAAACCTGCAGTGTTTCGGGTTATTTTTATGTTTGCTGTATAAGAAACCCCAAAGAATACAATTTGCCATGCCGTTTTTGTTTAATATTTTCAAAATTATTTCGGAAATTTATTTCTGACAATTGCGTCTTAATTTGTTAAGCTGCCTCATAAATTTGGCATATATATATATATATATATATATATATATATATATATATATATATATATATATATATATATATATATATATATATATATATATATATATGATGACACTTTATTCCGGGATATCATCCGTTCGCTCGTTGAACTCCGACTGGAATCCTGCAAATTCTGCATCCGACTGGAATCCTGCAGACGTTTCGCCAAAATCTCACTTGGCATCTTCAATGCTCGCGCTCCGAAAACACTTCGAACACTCGGAGCGCGAGCATTGAAGATGCCAAGTGAGATTTTGGCGAAACGTCTGCAGGATTCCAGTCGGATGCAGGATTTGCAGGATTCCAATCGGATGCAGGATTCCAGTCGGAGTTCAACTAGCGAACGGATGATATCCCGGAATATAGTGTTATCACATTTTTCCATCCGTGAATCAATACGTGAGAATATATATATATATATATATATATATATATATATATATATATATATATATATATATATATATATATATATAAGGTGATTCACTCAACAAATTTCGTTTTCACAAGTGCAAGGGAAATGGGTAGACAAAGGAATGGAATGTGAATGCTAAACTAAACGTCTTAGCTTTCATTAGCAAAACAGGGTGGTAAATTTTCTGAAAAAAAAAAAAGTTTTTTGTTTTATCTAAGAAACTATTGTAGATATCTACCTGAAAATAGGAAAATGTATTGTGCATCGAAAGCTATTTCATATAGTATCTCATATTTATGAGAAAAAAAGTTAGGCCACTGAAATTTTTTCAGATAAATGTTTTCTTTATATAGTCGAGTTCTGTATGAAAGTAACATTTTGGTTTTTGTTATAAAATGCATTAATAAAATGACTTCATTTCGTTAGAATATTTTTTGAAGATACAAGTCTAGTTAGCTTGGAATAGATTATAATTTATTATTATTATTTATCATTATTCGTTTTGCTTTCATTGAATCAAAGTTTTTTAAAATGAGCTCAAGCATTGCTCCATTTACTATTGACACGTCATTAAGGAATACCTTGTATATGTATGGACATATTGTGGGGAAACAAAAAGTTCATCACGATAAACTAATGACATATGATGCGTTCTTTGGAAAAAAAATTGGCGTTCCTGCCTCAATAACATAAACATAAATATTAGAAGAAATTGTAATTGTAATAAATCGGTGTAGGTGGATGTTAAATCTACATTTTTATTGAGTATTTCAATTGGTAATAAAATAGAGTTTTCCAGTATAAATTCCACAAATGCCACCAGTTTTCGGGAAGATTTGTATTTATCACAATACTTCTTTGTTAGTTCTCTAGAACTTTTAACAAGAATCGCCTTTGTCTATTATTACCATTCAGAATATTTATCCGTTATCTTTTTTTAATTGGAAAATGCTTATCTGAAACATATTTTTCTTATAACGGTCAAATTTTTGAACAAATGTCGGGAACAGCTACCGGTTTTCCACTATCACCAGTCATCGCGAATATATTTATTGAATCCTTTGAGAAGAAAGCTCTCGACACTTTTCATCTAAAACCAAAATTATGGAAACGGTACGTCGATGTTATTTGGCCTCATGGTTAAGAAACCCTAGTAGATTTTCTTAGACATTTAAACTCTATACACCCTAACATACGTTTTAGCATTGAGTTGGAAACTAATAATAACCTTCCATTCTTAGATATTCTGATCAATATAAAATCAGACCTAACATTGGGTCATTGTCTTTACAGAAAACCTACGTACACAGACCGATATCATAATGAATGTTCACATGACCATCCGACCCAAAAATCATCGGTTATGAACTGTTTACAGAGCCGTAAAACTATCTCAGTCCGAGGCACTGAACCCAGAATTAAAACACCTTACCTCTGCTCTTCTCTATAATAATTTCTACATTAAAGATATTAAGCGTTCCATCAAAAAATACACTTCACCACAACCTTCCAATAGCAATGAAGCCGCAAGCAATCTTACACTGGCAACCATATATCCAAAGTTCAAAAGAAGTATAAAGTCAAAACCAGATTTACCACTTGTCCAAAAATCTCCGAACACAATCACGAAACCGGACATCAAATTTTATTTGATAAAACTAAAATTCTTGCATGTAATCAATTCTTCTACCAACGAAAAATCCGAGAGGCTATAGAAGTATAGTTTCACCAATATGAGAATCAGTCATCCGAGACGGTGTTTATGGCCCTCATTTTGCTCTGCCTCCCTCAAACAATATATAAGCCGGTACAGAGTAAAATGCGAGCCAGTTTTAGTCAAGCTCTGAAGAAACCAACAGGATGATTGGCGAAACGTCAGCAAGTTCCACTCAGCCGATGCAGGAGGAATCCAGGAGTTTTGTAAAAAGTATTACAGTAGCCGGGGGAGTTTCTTTGAAAAATGTTTCATGTCTTTCTATCTTTGAATTACAAATTCGAATCTTCCTTAGCTACAAAAAAGGCCCTCCAGACTCCCAGTTATCACGAATTCAAATTTGGAAAACACAACATAAAAAAAGTCAATTACAAACTATTTACACCCATATAGATAAACGGAAAAATATGATTCTCACAAATAGAGAAATCAGAAATAATTTTAAACTTACTTGTGGAGTCTCTCCATGTTAGCAAAGTTTTTGATGTTCAGTCAAATAAAGAGTTTCCCAGGCAACAGGCTATAATATTCCGAAATAAGCTGAATAACTAAACTGGAATGATTTTACCTGCTTTGAAGTTTATTTGTACGTAAAAAAACAACAATAAAATGGAAAAAGCTCTTGCATCCGCTTCATATAATATACATTCTACACTTAACGCTTAAACAGACAAGTAGAAAAATAAAAACAGAATGATTTTAACATTATGAAAATAGTAACTTAAATAATAATATATCGAAAGTGTTTAGTTAAAAATTTAATACATTTTGTTACAAATTTAATACAATAGAATAACGACGAACTTTTTTTTTTACTTTTTTGATGAACTGGTGAGGTTAAACGGATGGTTTTGTTAAATTAATTCCGAATTAGTTGTTTAATCGAAAAGAATCATCAGTATTTTTAAAAGAAAATTATTTGTTTCCAAACTAACTTTTTGCATAGTTAGTATCAATCCAAAATTGTTTGGCAAAGTTTGCCATTTATTATTTTTCCAACTTCAAACTTATATATAATTCAATTAATAGTTGAAGCAGATTGTGTATAATGTACTTTCTGTAAGATCATCTTAATAAACTGAAAAGTAAAGGACGTTGTGTCTTGCTGCAAATTAATTAAGCTCACTCTGTTTTGTTGCTCGTAGCATTGACAGCTGTCGTGCGTAAAACAAGATTAGTGTTTCGGTTACGGGCTTCAGATTTCTTTGCATTTTCGAATTGTCAATCAGACTCTGTTTTCAAAGCCCGGTTTCGTTCCTTTTTGCCTTTAGCCGCCCCAGTCGTATTGCTTTCCTCCCCGTATAAAATCCACGATCGACCCTAAGAGTTCCTTTTTAAACAAACGAAATCCTCTGATCGAATCGAGACGATCGTCCGTAAATTGGATATTGACCAGAATATCAAAGTCCCCTAAATGGATACATTCGTGGCTCAATTTCGATGTTTCTTTGGAAGCTTCTTTTGGAATTAAACTTCTCTTTATTACATTGATAGATTCTCGTGGCAGAACGAAGCAATCAACAATGCCGCAACTCAATCGAAACTTAAAATGAGCTCAAAACGTTTTATTAATTAAACTGCTTTCTTTGCATTTAATTAATTTGACTAATTACCCTCTTTTAATTAGAAATGCAAATGCATCTTCATCTTCTGTGAAAAAAATTGTTATAAATTTATGGAGAAAAGACCGATTCATAGGAAATAAATTCCCGCCCTGGCTGTCTAAAAAAATCAACTCTTCTTGAGAAAGCGCCCTTAGTTAGGAAACTAAGGAATAACCCGGAGTTAAGTGCCCATCGATTAGACCCGGCACTCAAGGATGCTCTATGAAAGAATCGATCAACTGTGAGAAACTGTTTACATAGACTTGGGTACAATAGTCGAGAAAAAAAAAACCTTCCAATTCAGAGGGTCGAGAGGTTTCAACGGGATAATGATTCGAAATATTTGGATATACTAGCGCAGGGATAATTAAATATTATATAATATGCAGGGACTTTCAAAACAAATGGAAAAACAAACTTAAAAATAAAACGTAGTGTTGGGTCAAAAGTCAACCACTAGAAAATATCGCGCTGTAGGTGGAGCCACTTTCTTGGACCCAACGTTTATATAAAACACTACCCGTTATTTTAAACAAAGAATTACCGCATTTAATTTTTTGGATTCGTTTTGATATAACTTTCGGCTGCAATTGGCTACCAGTTCTCAGTCATCAGATATTAATCCAATCATCATCAAGTTTGATACGGACAGAGGCTAAGGTTCGGATTACAAAAAATCAAGAAATATCTCCCTCCCTCCCTCCCTCCCCCCCCCCCTCTCTCTCTCGCTCTCTCCCTTTCTCTCTCTCTAATATGATTAAGTATCTAAGAGCTATAATAAAGCCTAACCCACATAATATTATGTTTTCAAAATACATTTTACCAACACAAATATTCATTCTAGTTATTTATCTGTGTGTAATTTAATTAAAACTCACAAAAATTAAAGACTGCAATAAATTTACTAAAAATCATATCCGTTAGGAGACTTTTTTGATAGATTGCACATATCCATGTATCAACATGAAATAGAACGCTATTTTTAACAATGACTATTGAACCATCATAATCATAGGCGGCCGTGGCGTGTGAAAATGTCATTTGTGAAGTTTAACACTGACATTCGTTTTTCTTTACGACGGATGAGTTTTAATGAATTGAAAATCGTTTTAATATCCACGCATTAGAACTCGACATATAATGGATCCCTTTGATCGAGAACTTCGACCCATTAGTGAAATTCCACCGACATACAGAAGTGTATTTGCCGGATATCCAACATTCAACCGCATTCAGTCTGCTGTTCTCGATGAAGTGCTTCAGACTGGTAAGTGCTTTTCAAATAACGTACAACTCAATGCTAATAAAGGTAAAACATTGTGTTTTGACTTCGACAATTTGGTTCGAAGCTGGTTGTTATAAACGTAAACTATTGTGTTTTGGCTCCGACAATTTGGGTAGTGTTTGATCGTTATATTTGAAGCAATAAAGTTATTTCAAAATTATTCCAAAGCAAAGGCTTATTTGCTAATCAATTTATTTATTATATTTTAATTTTATTTCACACTTTTAGTTGGCATATAATTCGGTAGCACAGAGGTTTGCTGTCCTTTTCCCCAAAGTTAATTTGGAATTATTGGTATTGGTATAGGGGACAGTTTACCTCCGCATTTTTGAATTGATTCTTATTCTAGGTACATGATTGATATCCCAGATACCTATACAATTTCTTAAATTAAAAATCCTAAAACCAAATTGACAATTGCCAAAATTGGAGGAATATCTAAAATATTACATGGATATTAATATTCAAATACGGCGGCAAATAAAAATTCAAAACTCTTCTCATAACGCTGAACGCGAAAGAATTTTCTCGTTTTTCATGAGTTTCCTAACGTTCCTTCCAATATACAATAATGTTTCTAGTATGCTATCAAAGAACGCAAAACAAACAAAACACTAGTCCTGCTTTTTTATATTTTTTTAGACAAGTCGTTGGTTATATCCGCTCCGACAGGATCCGGAAAGACTGCTATTTTCGAAATGGCTATGATACGTGCTCTTTGTCAAAATGAAAGTTCGGCTTTTAGTGACTTAAGAATGGTATACAGTAAGTATAAAGCAGAAATTTCATGTTATCGTAAAACATTACGAAAAAAAATTGAAATTTCGAAAAATTCTAGATTAAAACATAGCCCGCCATGTTTGCGCATTAGAACTGATTCTTGGAATTTAAAATTACAAATATTGTCTACGACGTTTTGGCTGCAAACCGATATAATATGTCATTCTTGTCATGTTTAGGTGAATATTGACGAAGCAGAAAATAATGCTTTGTTTCGATTATATTCTTTTGGTAGTCTGTCAATGTTTTGAGTAGATCAATGTTTAAGAAGTTGTTACATTTTAGAAAACTTTAAAACTTACCTTTGAAATTTCGGATTCCTGTTGGTAGTCAAATTAGTAAGTTTCAATGATATAAAACATTCTGTAATCTCGTATAAAATGAAAGGCCACTAGCAACAAAATACAAAAAAAAATATTGATTGACTAAAGCTAGATCTGGGGTTAGTTTTAAAGTAAGCGATCATATTACCTCGAATTATTGTGTGAAAATTTCATTACAATCATTTCATTACAATATATTTCAGTTTCGCCAATGAAAGCTTTATGCCAAGAGAGACACTTAGATTGGAACAAAAAATTCTCTAGTTATGGGTTGAAAATAATATGCATTACAAGCGACTACGAAAATTTTAATATGCAGCTTATTTTCTCCAACCACATAATTCTGTGTACTCCGGAGAAATGGGATATTTTAACCCGGAAGTGGAGAGAGTATGGTCATTTCGTCCGACCTATAAACTTGTTCATGATAGATGAAGTGCACTTACTCAATGCCGACGTTAGAGGACCTACACTCGAAGTAGCGGTAAGCAATAAATAATTTGTAGCGTTAGAGTGGATTGATTGAATATCGTAAAACATTTCATTGATGGTCGATTAAGTAAACTCATTCTAGTACTCGTGTGGCATATTTATACGGTTCATTCCATTGTTCATAGCCTTAACATGCCTCGAGTTCTGTTAAATTAATGTATATAGCTTGTAATGGCGGTTTCCTGGATTATGGTCCTAATTTATTTCGCTATTGTGTTTTCACTCTTCACTATTGGATGCAACATTATTTGTAGTTGTCTATGACTTTTACCCATGACGCACCGAAGCCTCTAAAGGTTTTTGGTTGAAAAGCTGTTCGTTGGAACTTACAAAACATATAAGGGACGAAAATTAAAATTCCTTAATATTCATTATTCAGTTATTCATGCTTGACAAATAGTGGATAAATAAAGCAAAAAAACGACATGAAAAAAATATTTCGAAAAACTCGGCATTCGCGAACTTAAACAACGAAGTAATATCAAACGAAATAATGCGTTAAACCATTGATCCCCAAAGTGGTGTATATCGTCCCCCAGGGGCATATGACAGCCTGCCAGGAGTGTAGGTCAGCGGAAAAAAAATTGAGGGTTTATGAAATGAAAATGGGAGTCCACGATAGCGGATTTTAAAATACACTGATAGTATCTAGTTATTTGCATTATACAATGTTATAATATAAAGACATCTTATCTATAAAAGTATCTATAAAGTAAAAAAAATATTATATGTGTTTAGAAAATTGTGTTAGTGCTAAGATGTAGGCCTTCGCTGGCACATGCAAAAAAGTATCATCTTGTTACAAACATACGCGCTGTAAAATTTCTTGGCAATTTTTGTCTCAGAGCTTCGCGCACTTGCATAGACTTGTTCAATTCGTCGCTCTATAAATACGAATGTCAGACGAACGGTTATTTGTGAATTTGTCTGAAGAAAATGACGAACGCTTTCATCAATTACTCCTTTAGGCTGAACTAGGCTGGCTGTCTAAAGGCTTATCTTTGAGAAGATTTTTTGCACTTTTTCATCTAATTGAAACAAAGTCCATCCCATCAGCTTTTCATGTCAGAGTTAAACTAATGAAGCAAAATACAAGTACAAACGAAAAACAAAGTTCAGTTTAAAAACTGATACCAACAATCCTGGCTGCAAAAAAAACATACCCGTTACTTATCGGGTATTATAGAATATTGCGGAAAAATTTCCTTCCATTTCCATCGTCCTATCTTGTGGAAAAGGGGTTTAGACTGGACATAATTTGCCTAGGAGATTTAAGATTAAACCTTACGAAATTGAAGCCAAATGTTGATAATTTATTGTTAAAGAATCAGTTTCATCCATTTCACTAAAAACCTTTACTTATTGCTTAGTTTATGTTAAGTTACGTATATTTTATAAACAGATACAAAATTTTATTTTGAGTAATTACATGTTAAGTTTTTAATACTAAATTTCACTACAGTTAGTAATTAACAAAAAATCAATATCATGTAAGTATACTCAAAACCGAGAAACATGCCAAGGGGTCTACGACACAAAATAGATTGGGAACCACTGCGTTAAACTATTGATTCGTTATTATTATACTCTTGCCAACACCTTCTACAACATTTAAAAAGGCTGCTCGTAAATGACTGGGCAGTTGAAGCAGAAGTCTTGCTCAAACGCTACTGAAATCGGTAATAAAAAGGATTGCTAATAAGTTGTGTTAACAGAGCTACCAGGTATATGCATCGATTATGTCAGCAGTATCAGAAAATATTGATATATTGTCGAAACGTTTTCAATCTTTTCATTTTCTTATTCTCACAGGTTTGTCGAATGAAAACTATCGAAACCTTCATGAATGCAAACAACCCGAAAATACGCTTTATAGCATTGTCAGCAACCATCGCAAACGTGGAAGATGTGGCAGATTGGATCAGTGGTTCCTGCACTACACAATACTACAAGTAGGTACTTTCGTCTGTCATCGGTTACTCTCTAAATCGATTTCACTTTTAGGTTTTCCGAAGAAATTCGCCCCGTCAAGCTTAATAAAATCGTGCTAGGATATCCAATTAACTCCCAAGTTTCCAGTTTGTTCAGATTCGATATGTCGTTAAGTTACAAACTCCCTAGTCTTATATTGAAATATTCCGAAGGAAAACCGACCCTGGTAATTCTATTTAATTCTGCTAAAATCAGAAAAGTTTTATCATAATTATTTACTTTCTTTTTATTTCTGGACTATTGGACGCGCGCCATACTCTGTCATTAATTTAGCACGAATTGCACTTTATGTTATGGTGATTTTGTTTCCTTATTTTGTTTTGAGGATTGTAGGCGTAAATAATTTTTACAGGGCCGACGATCTGATTTTTTTCTTCCTCTTCTTGCTTTAACGAAATATTAGATTATTATCTTAAATTATACTTTCAATTAAACAAGTACAACGCTTTCAAAATTAAATTAAGTATCGAATCGGAGAAAATGGTTAGTAGAACCCAAAAATAAAAAAAATACAGTACGTGCAATTTAAAATTCAATAAAAAAATCAAAGTCCAAATTTCTTTAACTTTAAGAGGAGTCTTCATACATGTTTTTTATATTTTTAAAAATTTCGAAATAACTACAATTAGGTATATACCAAGAAAAAAATATATTTCGTTGAAGACATAAAACTTCCTATAGTTGTTTTGGTTAGTTGTCTAAATTCTTGTGGTATGTTAATGGCTAACTGCGAAATAATAAATACTAGTCTGGAATTTGATCATCAAATAAAAAAGTGTCTTATACGTATAAAACGGTTTGTTATAGGTTTAACAAAAAAACAAAATAAAATTGGTAGATTTTATCAGAAAAAAATAGAATTAAGAAAAAATATTCAATAGTGCGTCACTTTGATTTAACATGAAAAGTAGACTAAATTCGCAAGAAAAAATGAATATTTCTAATTTTTGATTTGAATGTATGGTGAAATATACCAAGGACAAATAAAATTTAATAGAACGTGTGAAAACTTTAGCTGAACTTTTACATAAATTTTTGGGGCACTAAACAATAAAGAGAGACAGGCAGATAGTGTAGAACAGATTAAAAAAAGTCCGTGGGGGTATGTTTTTTGATTCAATTAATTTATTGATTAATTTAGACTTGATGATGATGGCGATTTGTCCTTTTTTACACCTGCTTCGAACGATTCCGGGTTTCCTTTCAGATTTTCTGCAATACCCGCAAAAGTGTAGAAATGACGGCCAAACTTCTTGTCGAACAATTGCAAATTCACCTGAGCGAGGTGCAAAAGCAAGCGTTGCTTGAAGTTCTCGCTGAGGTAAATGATCCGAAGCTGCAAAAATGCGCAGTCCACGGAATTGGTTTTCACCACGCCGGATTGATAATGCAAAATCGACGTGCAATTGAAAACGCCTTCAGGGAATGCAAACTGCCCATTTTGGTAAGTCGATGCGAAAGTAACATTTGCAATAAGAGATATGAAAATCGCAAACGTATCCCCCACATTAGCTGGATCTCATTGCTTCGATGTATCAACTCGTTACAATTTCCGATTTAATCAGTGTGTTGTGGCATTTTAGCAAATTTTGATCCTGAGTATAGTTTGGGCATCAAAAATGATAAATAAGAAATATTTAAAAAATTAAGTTATATGCTTGTTTTTTAGTTTTCTACATTATCAAAATTATCAAAAAACTCTGACAAACCTGATTTTGATTTGGTGCAATTTAAAGAAATAGGAATCAAAATACTAAGATGGACTAGACTGAACACTTTAATAAAGTTTTTCTCGAAACACACGATTTCAAGGAAAATCTTCAAATTTATTGTATTATTGTATTTTTAAAAGTTTGTAATAAAATCAACTAACCTTTTGGTTCGAGAATGTTAAAACCATATTAACTTTGACGATTTCTATAAGAGCATTTGAAGATTTTCTTTGAAATAAATTGCTCAAGATAAATTTAAAAGAAACTACTGTATCAAAGTATTCAATCTAGTCCGTGTAAACATTCAGATTCATATTTCCTTAAATTGCGATGTCCCAAAACAGATTAGGTTTATTTTGGTATCCAGTTTTCTGATAGTATTTTTTTGTATTATTCGCTTCCAATACATTTTATATAAAAAGTGGTACACATTTTTCGAATCAGAAGATTTTTTAGTGACGTCGGCAAACGAGGAGATTGAAAAAATATTATCCAAGCTACTGCTTCGTCTTAAACTATGTTGCAAAATTTTGTTTTTATGCTCCTAAGAGCTAAAAGTGTTTCGTGTTTTTCTGGAAATTACTTTATAAGGAGATGTCTGGTTTTCAATGGTCGCTCTTCAATAATGAAATAAAACATTACTTTAAAATTGGGCAAATTCGGAATCATACTATAACACCAATTTTGTTTGTTGAGATATAGGCTGAATTTGATTCACTGTCGACACACCCTCAACTTCAACGAGGAAACCACTCTTCTTCTTCTTCTTTCTCTGCTTATCCATTAATGGATGTTGGCGACTACATTTTCCATAGCTTGTCTATCTGTCTCACGTTCTTCAGGTATTCTCTTTCGTACCAGTCCTCTTCTACCCTTGATCCTGTCCTCAATTAGCAGTTGCAGAAATTGATATTTATGATTGCGCATTATGTGACCCAGTTATGCAGTCTTTCGTTTTTTTACAACGTCTTGGAGTTCGCGATCTTGGTGAATAATCCTGAGAATATCTTCGTTTCTCATTCTGGCTGTCCATGGTATCTTAAGGATTCTGCAGAATATCCAAACCTCAAATGGTTCCAATAAGTTTATGGGTTTTACCCTTAGTGTCCAACCTTCAACGTCGTATAGAAGCACTGACCAAACATAGCAGCCCACAAATCTCAACCGAATGTCGCTACAAGTGAACACTTTTTTGAATTTTAGAAAACCACAACGTCACATTTCTTCGTATAAATTGCGATTTTCCAGTAATACGCCCAAATCTACATGCGTAAGGATAAACGATTAATAATTTAGACATATATAACTGATATTTTAATATTGACCGGAATAATGAGTACTTATAAGGACACCAAAATTTTTTGATTTAACATCTTTACCATGTGAAAACACTAAAATCCAAATTCGGACCACACCTCAAAAGAAAATATATTTCATAGTATATTTTCTACTCCTTAGTCGAAAATACCTAATTATACGCTAATTAGCAGCGCGTAGCCGTGTCTCTTTAATACTTTAGCTCCATTAAACACTGTCGCGAGTCAATTCGAGCGATTAGATGTTTTGCAAAAATAGGACGTTCGTAGGAAAATTACTAGCATACAACACGTTCATAAACTTCTCAGTCACTCGTTAAATTGTCGTGAGTTTGTTTAGGCACGAACGGATAATAGCGGAGCGAGTATTTAATAAAGAAGTTTATAAATGTGTTGCATAGTAATTTTTTTCGTGATAAATGCAGAACACAATCAGAACCGTGAGAGCTGGAAAACGTCAAAACACCATCAGTAATTAAAATTGTACCGGAACCATTAGATCGCTGTGACTCCGTGACTAAAGTGTCGGAAAGACTCGAAGTGCCTCGGGCTGATCGGGTATTTTTGAGACGCGAGAAATTTATAGTTACAACCGAACATTACTTGCAATCGTAGGTAACGACAAGTACCCTCGCGATGGGTGTGAATTTACCAGCACGTCTAGTAATAGTAAAAACGACAAAATCGTATGACGGGAATGGTCGGTACAAAGATTACGACGAGATATCGCTCTTCCAAATGATAGGTAGAGCCGGACGAATTCAGTTCGACACACAGGGCACCGCCATCATATTAACCACGTCGCAGGATAAGGTTGGCGTAAAAAATAATTAAGTGTTTAATAGGTACAATGTGGTAAAAAATATCGCAGGAAAAGTATGAGAAAATGTTGAATTGCGCGCAACCGATAGAATCGCAGCTTCACAAATGCCTCATGGAGCATTTAAATGCCGAGATCGTGTTGAAGACGATTACGGATTTAGATGTGGCAATGAGGTGGCTTTCTTCAACGTTCCTGTACATAAGGGCTAGGAAAAATCCGGAAAAATACAAACTTCCGCGGGGACTGAAGCCCGATCAGATTGACAAAAAGTTGCTAGGTAAGCGTATATATCATAAATTGTTATTTAACTTTCATGGGTTGAAAAGGATAGGGAACCGGATATCTAACGAATTTCAAACAGTCCTGCCTATGCACAAATAATTGTAATTTTTAAAAGTCGTTCCAAATTAGTACAAAGTTCGTAAACACCTTTGCCAAATAAAACTTTTAATCATTTTATTTTATTCTATTTCTACAAATAATCTAATCAAGTAAAAAAAAATCATAAACTAAAATTTTTCAACAGTTCTTTTCGTTCGTATATTGGATGCAAAATTTTACAAAAATCAATGAATGAGATGTTTAGTTGGCCCAACCTATACTAAGAATATAAATCGTTTATGTACATTATGGGATATACAGAGCAAAAGCCATTTACGCGTTTAAAAAAAATAACTTTAATATATTGGTTGTCGATTACAAAACTGCCCATGTTTATAACCGTTTTTGAAGGATCTCAGAATGTAGTGAAAATGAAAAAAAAAGCGCTTGAACCACAGTTATTTTGGTATTTTGGATACATGTTTATTTTTGAACTTTTTAACAAATGTTGAATAGACATTTGATGATGTATAGTATATAGTACACGTATATCGTATATATTTATATTTCTTCTTCTTTCTATTAGTAATACAAATCAAAATGTGTTAACTTCTTTAATATGAGTAATCAACTAGTGCAAAATATTTTTTTGAAACTGATTCAGTCATGGCAATAATTTCATATTATTGCTCTATTTTAATCCACATCTTTTTCTAATACATCTAGAGATATGTCAGGTTGACCTGAACAAACTCTCAAGCGGTGGAATGATTAAAATCATGCAAGGAATAGAAATTACGCCAACCGTCATTGGGGAGATTATGGCAAAATACTATGTGGCGTTTGACACGATGAAGCTCTTCACAAAGGTAAACCGTAAGTTATAAACAAAGTTGTTAAAGATTGGCAAACTTATAGAAAAAGGAAGTTATTTTTCTCAGTTCTCAAAAAAATTCCGAACACAACTTACTACATTTAGGTTGTTGTCTACTAGCCTCAAAATTTGAGGGCCTTATAGCATTGCAATAGTGGGCTCTTTAAAAGTGTCCGCCTGGAATCCTCATCACGGTTTAAAAGAAATATAGCACAAGTAGCAAGCAAAAAATCTTTTTAATATAAATAAAATAAACCATATTAAAAAACTAATAAAGACGTTTTAAAAAAAACTACAAAAGCTTCAAAGTTGTTTTTTTCTATACGTAATTTAATAAAAAAACACTTGCTTTATGATTACCACACACAAGTTTATCGCTTTGACAATTGTTTCGGTACACTGTACCTTCTTCAGAAAGAATCTCTAAACTAACTATCACAGGGTTGATTACAGACTATCCATACAGTAGGTAGAATCTTTATCTAAGGGTTTAAGACGGGAGAATTATTGATGTCGGTTTGATCGTTTAGTAGCAAATTTGTATATTTCAGTTTATGTCTGACCTATGTATATTTTTGGACAAGATCCACATGTTAATTTGTATACTCTCGACTTACATAACTTATGTATTTTCGTTTTATTATTTTTATTTACAGATCCTAATGTCCTATTACATTTAAAAGCAATATTCCGATTTAGCCTTCTAAGTTTTTTAGCTATTTAACATAGTCAAGACAAAAGCAAAAAACTTAACTTATTAGAAACAATAGAAATTAATAAACTGAAATATACAAATTTGCTACTAAACGATCAAACCGACTTAAATAATTCTCCCCTTGTAAACCCTTAGATAAAGATTCTACCTACTGTATGGATAATCTGTAATCAACCCTGTGATTGTTAGTTTAGAGATTCTTTCTGAAGAAGGTACAGTGTACCGAAACAATTGTCAAAGCAATAAACATGTGTGTGGCAAGTATTTATTTTTATTAAATTGCGTATGTAATGGATTATCATCAAGTAACAGTCAACTCAATCAAATCTTTGTTTTTCTCTTTACAATTTTTTAATTTTCGTCAATATTACAATGTAGTTTTTCAACATCTCCATTTACCTATAAAGTTACCCCCACGACAAAACTATTTTTTAAGCAATTGTCAAAGAACTTTTTCGGTTTCCCCTCACTACCTGGACACAGTAAGCATTAAGTTAGTAAGACTTTATTCAAGTTTGAGCCATTTTGTAGATTGACTTTTGGTCTCAGGATTAAAATAAGCAATCCGCGTTTCGTCAGTGGCTATTCTTCGTTGCCAAAAAATTGTCTAAGGGATAGGCGCACATTAATATGACGAATGGTCATTCGCCTATCTTTATTCTGAGAGTCTAAACCGCTTTAAAACTGCTTTTAATCTACTAGATAAACAGTACTTTTCAATACTAATAAAAAATACTTCTTGCAGACGTTGCATAATTTCTAGTGTTTTCATAGCTTCTTTCCACAAAAACGAAGCTAATTTTAGGTTTTGCTGCATTTTTCATGGTTACAAAAACAATATTGCACTAGATAGTTGAATACACATGCAGACACTTTTCTGCAACAAATAACACTGCCTACAAGTTCTGCGTAATTTATAGTAGAATTGCTAGAACATTGAAAATGTCCCTCGTAATTGCACCTACACTTATGGCTGCTGTATAAGCACAGGCTTATATACAAATAATTGCAACTAACAAATGGTTTTAACTTTGCTTGTTTTAGAGTTACTTACAACTTTCGAGACGGCTCTCAAGCACAACCCACTAGGTTAACTTTAATATGTTTACATATCTAGATTCCCCGAAGGATATTGCAGCTCCCACAGTTTGTTATCTTTTAATTCGGTTGTGATGCACTTTTAGAGTTTACAAAGTTGACACATATTTAGATTTACTTAATATAAAATTGTTCGTATAGCAACAGTTAAAGTGAAGAGACCGTCAAAAATACCCAATGGTTTTGAAAAAAAAGAGCTAGTAACAACGAACTAAATTGTGTTTCGAACCTGAAAGATCATGTACAATTAAATTTACCTAACTCCATCTTTCAATATCATTTTATTTAAATTATTAAAATTCACGTATTTTTAGTTAAACGGCAATGAAAACTTAATTCAGGTACTCGGTTTGATTTCTCAGTGTCACGAATTTTCTGAAATATTTTTGAGAGTGAACGATAAAAAAGTATTAAATTTTTTGAATCACAACTCATCCAAAGAGGAAATCCGTTTTCGCCTAAAAGGAAGGATCAAAACTGTAGATATGAAAGTAAATTGGTAAGCGCAAATTTGTTAGTAGGTATTCGAATTTGATTCATTCCTGCACGTGTTTCAGCATAATACAAGCAGTGCTCGGCAATTTAGAAATCAGCGAGCAATCAATAATCAGCGACTCTCACCGGATCATGAGAAACTGCGAGCGTATTGCGAGATGTAATTTTTTTTCTAATGCTCGCCCGAGATTAGAAATCGATTCGATTTATTTTCCAGGTTTAATTGAATATCTGGAGACACGATCAAACGCCTACCAGGCATTGCTTAGCGCCATAATTATGGCGAAATGTTTTCACGCGCAGTTGTGGGAAAACTCTCCCTACGTGTCTAAGCAACTGTCGGGAATCGGTCCGGTAATATCCAGGCAATTATCGAAATCTGAAAAGAACACGTTTCAGAAAATTGCGAATACCAATCCAAGACAACTCGAAATGGTAAGTCACATCGAAGTTAGTTGGACCGAAGTCATTTTAACTTGATAAAAATCCATTTAACACAATTAAATTAGAACAAAAAATTTTCAAAACTCTATCACAAAATAAGATTTGCTTGATCGTTTAATAGTTTGTTTAGACCAAAATTATTTTGAATTTAATAGACAATTTCACTACATACAGAAATTTTCATGGATAATTTGGAACATATCATATCATACATAAACATCCTCTGAGTAAAGGATTATATATATATATATATATATATATATATATATATATATATATATATATATATATATATATATATATATATATATATATATCGAAAATCGAAGAAACTTGTAGATGACTTGTCCAATATCAGAAAATTATAACATTCGTTCAAATTATAGCTCGTTGTTTGCTTGCTAAATTTAATTTTTCATTGCGACGCAAATGTTATCCTCTCGATATTGATATACAATATTCCATATATGATTTTAGTTATTGGTTTTAATTATGAATTATGACATAAACATATATAATCTGCTGCTTAATGTGACAAAACACTGCCAAGCTTGACAGCGTTTTGTCGATGAGTTCTTTTACTTTGTGTCTCTCATTTTTAATTTCGTATCGATAATCCAAATCTACTTAACTTACTGAACTTGCATTTTAGAGGACATCTTATCCCAACAAGTGCGAATAATCGCCAATGAAGTTTCATTATCCAATTTTCACATTTCCCTCGTTTCTCAACAAAATTGAGTGGGGTCGGGTTTGCGCGCTAAAATAACATTAGACGGAAATTGAAATAATTCGTGGCGTTTATAAAGAGTACTTGAGTAAGTCGACGTTAAAGATAAGGCTTCATTTTTTATATATAAAATGTAACGCGTTTCCATTTTGAATTTTCATGCAATATGCAGGATGTTTTTTTAGCTACTGGTGCTATCCTTTCTGTTATGAATTTTTTACATCATGGTATAATTTTGCTCTCCAATTTTTGAAAAATTCTTTTTTAATTCGCTACATGTTTATTAGTTAGTGTTAGTATGCCACATATAAAAGCTGAGCACTAATGCAAACTAACCAAAACGGACGCAGCAATTTATGTTAACTGATATATTTTGTATATTATTCCAAATTTCAAATATTATAAACAAAACTTCGATTATCTGAATACAAAAACTAAAATCTTTTCAATTCTATATTGATTTGCTACTATAATAAGAAATACTAGCACTTAAATGTCAAAGCATGGATCGTATATTAACTACCACCCTGTATATTTGTACTGTAATACACTACCATACTAGAAAAAGGCGACGGTAGCCATTTTGCAATATTCAGTTATCTAGGTCACCGTCTTACAAGAAATTAAGACAATGTAAACAATGAAAGAGAGGGTAAATATGATGAAATGATAAATAAGCGTCTAATTTGAAAGTGTATAATATATATATAATTTTTTTTTAATTATTAAGAATTTTACTCAAAACGAAGAGTAGTCAGAAAGGTGACACCGTTCGCATCTGAAAATAAAAAAAATACCCTGAGTGCCAATACAAAACCACAAAGAAAACAAACTTAATATAACTTAATTTCGCCAGAATACATATAACAGATATCTTGTCACTGCATAAAATCTGGGATTGACTGTATGTTGGTACTAAGGGCAGAAACACACGACAGAAGCTTCGACTTTTAACCAACAACAAAGTAATACTGTTTATATTTATACTGTTAATATTTAACTAAATAAAAATAAAACCGATCAATGAATTATTTGGTACTTTGGTATTTTAGGCAATAATAAAAACCTTAATTATATACTAATTTACAACAGTCATATCTACAATTTCGCTCGTAACATTCCAGATCACTGCGAAAAAACCACCGTTCGGAAATCAAATCATCGATCAAGTACAGCATTTGCCTCGCTACGAAATAAAACTGGAAGTGAGCGATACAAATATCAAGCTGACAATCGCGTTGGCCAATGTTAATGCTTTAAAAGAAAAGTGCTCGGTGAATTTCGAGTCGACGATGACGCTCTTGGTTGGCAATAGTAAAAACGAAATTCTTCTTTACGAAAAATATACGTAAGTAACATTGCGTATTGTGTGAAAATATTGCGGAGTGTCTTTAACAACTTGGTCAAAATGGCGTTCCTTCTTGCAGGCATGAATGTATGATTCATAATCCCGAAGTGATCAGGAATATAGAACTTGAAAAATCGAGTGTTGAATTTGTGGCCGCGGACTTCATAAGCGACGATTGGGGTAAATTTTTAAACTAAATAATTTAAATTGAAATAAATTCGTCAAAGGAAACAAAAAATTCAATCTGAAATTTTTTTTTTAATTTTATTTTTTCAGAGTATTAATATAGTAACAAAGTTTGTAATTAGTCTATTATAATTATTAAATAAATAAAATTAACCAAGTCCATTTCAATAAAAGAAAATCTCGTATGTAGAATGCGCGATTGAACTTTTATTGTTCTCAGAATAATCATTCTATTAATTCCGAGATTAATTCCTGGAATTACACATGAGGTTTAACTTTCCTAAAAATTTCCTATTTCATTGTTCCTGATTATCTTATGTTGACCTGATCATTCCAAAAGCAGATACCTCGTTTTGGTTAGTTCTTTTTTATCTCTCCCATCTTTAAAAGTCTCATTTTTCCCAACGAAATGTCCCTTTGACAATAATACAAGTGGAAACCGTTTCAGTTGGTATCGATTGCAGCGCAAAGTGCGAACTAACTAAAAATAAGCCACCCAAAAATTATCAAGATCCGAATCCAGGGCAGACATTTTTGGACATGTACGCTACAAGACAAAAAGGCAATAACGTGAGCACACAAACCTTTCTGATTGATTATGACCGTCTAACATTTCGCAATACATATCTTCGTAGAACAAAATTACCGCGACCAACTCGAAAAGCAGATCGGTAGAAGAAAACCATTCCGCTAGAAAAAAGAAACCAGTTAAAGAAGCAAACCCGAAAACTCCGACGAATGCTTCGCTAGAAGAAAAACACACCCTTCCAGAGACTAGCGAACCCGCACTGACAGGTATTTTATAGTGATATATTATAATAATGATGTTGATACTAAAAGAACTTCGAGCTTGGAATTTGCAGCAGCTTATATTTCTCTATTTTTTATGTTATTGTCTCTTGTTTAAATTTTTATAAATCAGTCGTTCGAAATTATTGGGTTGCAAGTTTTGTTGATGACTTCTCCTCCTCATTCCATTATCCTTTAGAAAAGAAGCGGTGACACCATTCATATTTGATTCAGCAGTTGATTACATGCTTGCCTATCTTGTGCAATCTTCTCGGCATCATGCAGTCTTATTTTCATTAAGGGTTTTGTTTGGTCTACCCATTTAGTCGGAGATCTGCCTCTTGGGCGTTCACTCTACTACGCCTTCGTTAAAAGTTTAATTAATAGCTCGTTACTATGCGATATGACATTTTGTAAATTTACTCGTACTAGGGGAAAAAGTACTCCGGAAAATAACTCAATAAACCACAAGCCTAGTTAGCTTCTTTGGCAAATAATTGATGAGCAATCAACATTAAACATTTCTACTTGAGACAGCTTTAGTTCTGATTAGTAAATACACTGTAAGAGATAGTTGACGGTCGATCTTGTATTGATACTAGAGCGCTTAAGATTTTTCAAATAAAAGGGAATGTTTGAAACTTCATACAATGTAATCTTAAGTGCAACATCACATGAATGATATTATTAAATGATATAAATTTAGTAGTTCTGGTTTTGAAAAAGGTCCGGTATATACGCCAGAATCAGAGCGTCATTACCTGGCGAGAGCACCGCTCCTGGGGAGAGTTAGTTAGAGAAGTAAAACCGCACATCTCGGAAATATAAATAATCAACAAATATCAATACTAAACGTTATTATTCCGTTAAGTTTTACGCCGAGTGACCCGTTTAATTTTACGCTGACGATTTTTTTAGAAAGTGGCGCCAAGGGAACTAACCGAAATGATAACGTCAATTCTGACTCGGAGGATCTCTTTCCGGAAGGTGAGATGGAAAATTGGGACGAAATTTTCGACAAAGTTTTAAGTGAACAAAACGCTGCCGATGAAACGGAAAAAGACAAATCAAAATGCACGGACGTTGCAAAAATTGATGCTAACGAGAATATACCGGAGACGAAAAAATACAACTTGCAAAATACATTCGAACAATTTTTCGACCCAGATCTGTTGCGACTGTTGTGTGAAAAATATAACTATAAACAATCCGAGAATATATCTGAAGTCGAAGATGTAGCAGAAAATAACAAACCGAAGAAAATTGAAAGCGAAAATGAAAATTCTAAATCCTCGCGTGAAACGGATAACAAAGTAAGTTCGTGACTCTTTTTTATTTTTGTAGAAAATATGAATATTTACTGCAATAATATAAGTAACTCGGTTTTGAATTAGCAATTTTAAAATTTGCATAGTTTTCTAGGCCTGTTTTTGATGTTTAGAATGTTACAAGAGAAGAAATCTGTTATAAAAACACATCACCTTTTGACATATAGCATACACGTGCTGTTTTTTCTTTTTCTTATTCCGACACGAGTTCCGACCACTAATTTCAAGTTTACATTATTAATATCCTAAAATGATATTGAATTATTTATGGTAATTGCATGATTATTTGAATTATTAACCTGTATTTAAAATGAACAAAAAATATACTTTATAGTAAATTAGAAATAAATGTCTAGGAAATTTTATAAGAAAAAAAAATTAAATATTATAAAAACTAAAATCCCTAAGCCTTATATATTACTCGTGATATTAAGCACATTTTGACAAGCACAAACTTTACGACTTGACATGCATTTTCTCTCTATCTTTACTAGGCAACGCAAAAGATTTTCTTGTGCATAATTTTTTGTAATTTGAATAATAATGCAGAAAAAAGTGTGTAGTTATCATACCAAACACCTTCTAATTATACTAAAATATCACACAAATAAGCGCACACGTTTTATATTAGATCCATAGATTGCTTAAGTTGATCACACATAGTAGGCTTTGCCAAATAAATTCGATCTAAATTTTGACGTTAGAAGCGCTTAAAGTGTCAAGTTAGTGGTTAATCTGTGTTATGTAAGTTATTTTGTTTAGCGTATTTAGTTTAAGTTTAGATCGACAAAGAGCAATGCTCGAATTTAGCCAATATTTAAATGGATAAATACCAACGTTATAGAATTACCTGGAAACATTTTTATTGGACGACGATTCAATGTTAATTCTGTATATATTATATGTACCAATGGTGGATTAGGGAAAGGAATGCCCATTAAGTTAAATGTAGCACCAATTTAACATTAATATTAAAAAAAAAAACAACGGTTCACAATTGCATTTAGGGAATTAATTAAAAATTAATGGATCTTGCTCAATTGCCAAGTTACTCTCCTTTATAGTTAATAATTCCATTTTCTCCCCGTTTGACAGAAAATAAGTCAAAATAATCCCAACAATGTTTTTCAATTGTGCTTGATCGATTTTTGGCAATAAATTTAAAACATCAGAGACAAAACTGACAAAAGAAATTAATGAAATAAGTTGGCTAACTTTATATTGTTAATGGTTAGTTTGGTTAATAGTTGCATGTCGATCTAGATTCACTAAAGAGGCTTTTTTACTCTAAATTTTAAATTAGTGTTAATGGATGCTTACATGGGTCATAAATAATGATGTATAATTAAGATTACACACTCGCCACCGCAATTTTTATAGCAAATTCAACAAAAAAGAAATAACAATAACTATTAAATGGTTTTCTGCATTCATTCTTATTATTTAATATCTATTATTTTAATAGTATGTCAATAAACAAGGATTGCAGATCTACCTTTCAAAATAAGCGACAAAGCGACTATAAAGAAACGTATTTCTAGCCATATTCCATGGATAAACCAGATTCGACTGGAAACGAAATGCCTTTTGGGATTATAGAAGAAATAGAAAATAAACAAATTGAGCAATCTAGTGAGTTCAACCCAGACAGCGATTCTTTGCTAGGACTACAGAGCAAGACAATTCGCTGGCGTTCACCTCTGATTCATTCACCACCGAAATTCGGTTTACTTAATTTTCCAAAGGTTAATTCTAGAGAAGTTCACAGGCAGGGCCACACATTTTCTTACTTTCAAGGGTAATATTTTGGTTTTTTTATAAATTTTTTAATATAAATAGTATTATTTTACACAATCAATAACACTGAACATTTTTATATATTTTTAATTGTTTTTTAATATCAAGTTTAAAATAATACCCATTCAAAAACAAAATAAATATTCACAAAAATGCAAACGCAATAAATTCCCTATCTGGTCCATCTATTATACGTCTTTAAATTGGTTTAGAAGCGTCACGATTCAAAACGCCAACAACCCTGATGATGGTGTGAGAAAAATCAAACTTTGTAAAAGACTCCTATCTTTAATAAAAGATAAAGAACAAAAAGCTTCTCGACAAATTAAACTATTTTTTTTTGTTTCAAAATATTTTCAGAAAAAGGCGGAATCAAAAAAAAAAGAAAAGAATTTTGAATTTTGAAAATAGATCGTCTTTATTTGACTTAATTACACAGCGTTCGAGTTATACTTGATAACGATCCTTGATCTCTCTGTCTGAAACGTTGACCTGTTAAATCAAATCAAGACAATAGTTTCAATAAATAAATATTGTTTCCGTTTTCGTAAGGTTGATTGCATGAGCACGTAAAATCTATCGTTGAAGTACAAAGGATATCTTAGCTTTTGTTTAAAGCAAGACTTTAACAAATTAATTATGTGCCGTAAGTCCATTTGCCGTTGTTATTGCTGGAGTTTCGGAACTTTTTATGTAGAAGCAGTAGAGTCAGCATTTTTTTGTAAAACAAATATATAATTTTAAAGATGCGAGCAAAAGTTAGATTTTTTAAAAGTAACAAATGAAAACAGATCAAATGAAATTTATTAAATAATGAATACATCAGAACAAATATTAGGATACATCAGAGGTGTCTAAATACGAAGCCTGTCTCTGTGTGCTAAAGAAATAAAAAATACATTTTTTACATTATAATATCTTTGGTAAACCTACCCAAAGATTAAGCAAAAAATACTACCAGAGTTAGCGTATATAAAGCATTTTTTTGTTTATATAAATATATTATATTAAATATATTGTTTTAAATTAACATATTTTTTGACATTTTAGAAAATATACTTCTATTCTGTCTTGATTTTATTCCACTTAACAATATTATTATTGTTATTATTTTTATCAGAAAAAATATTATAACTACAAAATACAAAAAATAAATGTAGGACCAGAAAGTGATATAGCATGGTTAACGACAATAATTTATTCTTGAATATTCTCTCTACGATTTAGGTAATTATGCTCCTAAATGCTCAAAGGAGAATTTGTAAATTATGCGAAAACTGTCTGGCAACTGGTGAAAGTCAGTTTTTAGCAGTTTTTCTTTTAAGTTTACAATTTCTTGTTTCTATTAGTATTGTAAAGTAATTTTAAATTTGAAAATAATAATTACATGAGTAATATGCTAACTGGAATAAAATGAAGATAAAAAGCAAGTATAGCTTCTAAAATTCCAAAATATATGTTTGTTTAAAAAAATATATTTGGACAGACTGTTTTGAATAACATGTAAAAATACAGAGCGTTCCAGTTAAATTTGAGTACCACACTGAAGTTTACGTAAAAAATCTATAAGATTCAGTTTTCATCATCTCCTTACGAGACAGGGTGTTTAAAATACAAAGGGTAACTAAAGTGGCCAAACTTTCTGTTTCTTCCTGTATCTCAAGAACAATGTGAGCTGAGACTATTTAGTTTCACGAAAATCGATCCCAGAATTGTATTTTGTTGTATTTATGTCTGTTTATTTTTTCCCTTAGAAGTGACGAAACCAACACAACGGTAAGAAGTGTCCGTACTCCGACGCACTCTCGTGATCGTCAAAATGAGTCGAGGGGAAAAACAAAATTTCCACTTAGCGATCGCGAGTGTTACGAGGCGGAGTTAGCGACCTCGTCAAAACGAAAGAAAGACGGCGATCCGTTGGACGTCCCCAACATATCGATAGTGGAAAAAAACGAAAATCTCAATATAAGCGATTACTGTAATCAACTAATCAGATCCCAAAAATTAAGAGAGATGGAGCAACGAAAGCCGCGCACCCCATCTCCCACCGCAAATAAGTCGCGTCCTTCGCTCGACCATTCGAAGAAATTCGAAACTCCAAATCGAAATTTAAACAGGTCTCCTCCATTTGACGGTTATCGCGAGAACGACCGCGAACAGATAGCGTTTCATCCTAACCGATACCCTTTCCGCGACGCCAATACTTCGCAAATGCCAGAAGTGTATTTGGCACACCCGAACGCCATTTATAAACCGCAACATCGCTACGTTCAATATCGTCAAACACCATACGAAACGTTTTCAACAAACACCACGAATTGCGCTTGCTGCGAGAAGAATACTTATTCTGCTCCTACCAGGATCGTCGACGACATAAATAGTTGTCACCACACCCACCTAAACCGTTTTCATAATCCTTATCTAACGCCGAGCCTACCCTCGGCAAACCAGAGCCTCTGTTTTAATCGGATCGATGAACCATTAATGCAAAGTCCCTATCTCGCTACAAATCCACACCACCACTGGCCTGAACATTGCTTTCCGTTAAAACGTAGCCCATATGATGACATGTGTGAGCAGGAAAACTCCAAACGCGATGAATTTGAAGAAGGCTATCAGGCTAGACAAATGGAACATTATCTAGACCGCAATGCCCAGCGCGTGATTGACCCGCGCTTCCCATACACTGAACGACATCCGGTTCAACTTTCTAAACCGACACCGAGGTTTGGTAACGAGGAAAACGTGGCGATGCGAGATGGTTTCCCTTCCCCGCCCTTCAGTGATTTAAGTTCCGTCAATTATTATCCTTATCGGTCGCCGCTGCTGCCACGGAATGCGGAACACCAAGAGAAGGAGCATAGAGTGCGCGGCGGTCGCTTTGACCTTACTGGAAACGATATTCGCAACTCATACGGTAAACCACAAAAGCCAAAGTTCTTACCCAAGAACAACGCGGTTTCAAACCAGTTAAAAACGGAGTCATTTTGTACGACGCGGGCTCCCAAACAAACATTCGTTGAACAGCAGAGCTTCGAGCATCGGCTAAACGAAATGACTGTCCCACATCAACAGACTCTGATGTACAGAGGTGGGTTTAATTTTGTACCGCAGCCGATGAAAAACCAATCGGGGTCTATGTTTGAATTTGATTATGAAGATAATTTTAAGTGAATTCTGTTGTACTTAAGTTAATGAAATCTTTAATTTTTTTGTAGTTTAAATAAATATTGTTTTCTACCACAACGGAGTTTTAGTGCTAAAAATTGAGAATGTCATTTCACCATCAAAAACTCGGAAAAATTTTTGTCATTACCGTCATTTTAACACCACTTAATCAATTAACCTTTCAACCTACCAATACCAACAGCAGTAAAATGAATTCAAATACAAAACTTCAGCTTTTTTTTCTAACGTAATTTCGACCGAGACCCCCAAATATTCTGAAATTGGAATGATTAGGTTGAGCATTAAGTGTCATAGTACCAAAGTCATATCTGACATCATATATTCATAATGTTATTATCAAAAATCTAGATTTCTTCAAAAATACAAAATCGTTAATCAGTCAAAAATATCGCCGAATGTATTGGAAGAGTACGTTAAATAAACATGCAGGCCGCATTGACCAAATAAATCTTATTAACTAAAATTAAAATATTATACCAACAAAGATTGCTGAGAATTTGACACACCAGCTTCATCAACCGTCAGCTTAAGAAACTTTTCACACTAATTTCTTTATTTAAGAAACAATTAAGTTCTTAAATTTTTCCGATGAAATCCACTGTTCATCAATGATTACACAAGTCTACAGTGATTTTGATATTTCAAAGCTGTTTGCTTATTTGTATATTTTTGGATGTCCTTTCTCCAAAAATGCCTTAAAAATGTTATTTTATTAATATACATACTTATGATATGAATATGTTTGTTGCATGTTAGGCACGATTATTAAATCAATTGATTTTTATGAAATTAAATGTGATTTGGGAACATTGGATAATATTAGATTTCTCTGCAAAGCAACACAAATGGATTGGTCGTCGTACTACTGTGTTCACGGATGTTGTCTTCCTTTTGCATATTCCTAGTGTTCTAGAACGTATAAATATGGAAAGAACACATTTTTGTTATATCTGTGGTATTTATATCGTAATAAATGTGTACGGCGTTTATTTTGCTATAAAAATTGGCGACCAAGACGAGTCCTAGGCTCCACATACTGTTAGTTCCGTTTGCGTTGAAACATTAAAATACTGGCAAAAAGGTAGGAAGAAATTTTTAAGCTTTTGTGTTCCTATGGTATGGAGAGAGCCTAGGAATCACAGTGATGATTGTTATTTTTGTTCGTGTAATGTTCCTTGAACGTTCACATTTAGCGTTTTTTCTGTTGAATAAGGATTCAACAGAGAAAATAAAAAGCAAATTATGTATCCCAATCTTGACTCTGCTATTCGACCAGTTTCTTGTGGACCAGATGTACCGATATCTACCGCCCCATAAGAACTATAAAACGTTATATCATCATAATCAGAGAAATCTAATTTGGACTCAGATGACTCAGATATCACACCACATTTCAGCGAGCCCGAGGGGTTTAACTAGAGCAAATTAAATGATTTAATTAGAAATTTGCAGATTTGCACCTTCCAAAGGATGCATTCGAATTATTAGCGCCCAGGCTTCGTGACGAGCATTTACTGGTACCTGGCATCACATCAAGCTTTTACCGGGATCGCGAAAAAGAGTTATGTCAATATGTTACTCAGGAAGGACCACCAGTGTATTGCAGTAATGTTCCTGACTTAATTTAAACATTAGGATGTGTGCCGTACATAAAAGAAGAATGGTGCCTATTTATTGACTCAAGTAAGCGTAGTTTATAAGGTGTTTTATTGCACAATGGTAAAGAAGTGACTTCGGTTCCCGTTGCACATTCGGTACATTTAAAAGAAACTTATGAAAATGTAGGATTTCTTTTGAAGAAAATAAACCACCACCACCACATCAGTGGATGCTTCTGGTGACCTTAAAATGGTATGCATACTCCTAGGACAACAGAGGAGTTATACAAAATTTCTACGCTTTATTTGTGAGTGGGATTTGTTAAAGTTTGAAGAGTTTGTTAAAGCCCTAGATAAAAATGGAGAGTGTTTTTTGAGACAATGGCCAATGTCGAGAAAAACGCATGGATTTCGTTTAAAGAAGTAATTGATAAGTTTCTTGGAAACTCTAAGGACGAAAACTACAAAAGTATTGTTCAAAATATGTTACACTTTCATCATCTAGGTAGAAATATGAGTTTGAAAGTGCATTTCCTGTTTTCACATTTGAACTAATTTCCTGAAAATCTTGGAGAAGTTAGCGAAGAACGGAGAGAGAGGTTTCACCAGGACATTAAGGAAATGGAACGGCGATAATAAGGCAGGAATAACGATGATGACGGACTACTGCCGGATGTTAAAACGGGATATGCCCTTAAAAACACACAGCCGAAGGTTCTTTTTTTACTTTTCTTAACTACGATTCCACTTTTTTACTGAATACAAACATAAATTATTTTAGAAATATCGTTTTTTTTTTCTTTAATATTTTCAAAAAAACCTTACATGATACAAATAAATACATAGATTTTTTTAAATCAGCACCAAAATTATATAAAACCAGTTTTCAAAATATAGTATCCGGATGGATGTTTTAAGCGAGGTTTAGCGAAATGTTATAGCGTTCAGGAAACCAACAGAATCCTGTTAGGTGCACTCTTATTATACAAATTTCAAATTCAAATACAAATATACCAGGGAACGAGAAATATTTCGAACTACCTAATTTGAAAATATGTTATTCTCATCTAATTTTAGTAATTGTACATTGTACATTCTACGATTATTTGTCCTCTATAAAATTTATCAAATTTTGTACCTAAATTGAGCTTATGTTGCTTATTAATTTGTCAGACAATATTTTAAATCGGAGGTTAAAAAACTTGCAGTACACTATATGACATCTGAATCCGTATTTTAGATACCCTTTAAAGACCAACAAAAAGCAACTTTAAATATTATGTTAGACCACGAAAAAATTAATCGATAAAAGTAGACGCCCTGTAAATAAAATTGGTGTATAAAAATATTTAACTGCGTGTTAATTCAATTGGTCACATAATAGTGAATTAATTGCAAAGTTTTCTTCCAAAGGGAAGCACTTAGTACTTCGACAACTTTTACATCCGTCTGGAATTTAATGTGGTAGTTAAAGCGTTACAATGGAATTTACCTCGCCAATAGTTTTTTATTGAATTCGAACTAAGTTTTATATAGTCTTAAAACTCGAGCGAGGAAAGTTTGCTGCATTAAAAGGAAAGTTGGTCTGAAACATTTAAAATACATTGTGTCGCTCAATTGGTTTCCTGCGTAAACTAATTTAAGCATCGTGGAAAAACCGGACTTTAAAAAGCAATTAAGAGATAATGCTTTTAGAGAGTCGCATTTAAAAGTTTTTGTTATCAGGGGTACGTCTCTTGATGGTATTTGATTTTGTTCGCTTGTTGAACTCCGACTGGAATCCTGCATCTGACTGGAATCCTGCAGACGTTTCGCTAAGATCTCACTTGGCATCTTCAATGCTCGCGCTCCAAAGTGTTCGAAGTATATTCGTATTCCAGTAGGAGATCAACAAGCGAATGGATGATATCCCGGAATATATATATATATATATATATATATATATATATATATATATATATATATATATATATATATATATATATATATATATATATATATATATATATATATATATATATATATATATATATATATATATATATATATATATATATATATATATATTCACGTATTGATTCACGGATGGAAAAATGTGATGACACTATATTCCGGGATATCATCCGTTCGCTTGTTGAACTCCGACTGGAATCCTGCAGACGTTTCGCCAAAATCTCACTTGGCATCTTCAATGCTCGCGCTCCAAAAACACTTCGAACACTGGAGCGCGAACATTGAAGATGCCAAGTGAGATTTTGGCGAAACGTCTGCAGGATTCCAGTCGGATGCAGGATTTGCAGGATTCCAGTCGGATGCAGGATTCCAGTCGGAGTTCAACGAGCGAACGGATGATATCCCGGAATATAGTGTCATCATATTTTTCCATCCGTGAATCAATACGTGAGATATATATATATATATATATATATATATATATAATTTATAATATATAAACATGACGAATTTTTTCTTGCGAACTGGAGATATACAGAATACCTCCTGACCTCACAATCTATATATAATTTCGGTCAAACGAATGTTGCCGGATTTTCGGAGGTAACAATGTCCTAATGCTCTCTCTTCCATTGGCATGTAGAAATATTAGAACGTCGGGATTAAAATTTTTGTCTCTTTGGAATAAAAACTATTTGTATTGAAAACAAAATGCCGTCTGTCGGTTTTAAATGGTCAACTTATTGCGGAAGCGGCACTTGAAAAGAGGTAACAGTGGAAAAATATATTATCATTGCAACAAACGTATACTTTTTATAATAATGCTTCATAAAATATTCTTTTATTTTATCACCTTTTGAACATGTAGAAATATTAGAAATTGTATAATGTTTATTTCCGTTATTGAAATAAATAGTTTTATAACAATCTTTATTTATTATATCTCCTTGGAAATGAGTAAATGAAGGTGCCTCTCCACTGAACCTCACTGCCCGCCTATGACCTGAAACAAAAACATCGATTAAAGACATGGAAGAAGAATGGAAAAACAAAGTTCTACATGGTAGGTATGTTAAGGCGCCAAATGATGCTGAAGGCAACAAAAAACTGTTCACATTATATCTTACGCAAGGATGTCTTAGTCCAGAACCTGAAGGTTTCTTGAGCTCTATACCGGACCAAGTAGTTCCCACGCGAAATTAGAGAAAATACGTCTTAAAACAAGGGGTACCAAACGAAAAGTGTGTGGAAGCTGTCCTGAAACGATTCAGCATTTAATATCAGCGTGTAGTTAAGATTACCTTAAGCGGCATAATCAGGTTGCAGGGATTACGGATCAGCATATCTGCAACAACAAAAAGCTGATAAATAGTGAACTCCTGTACAAGGTTTATTGGACACAGGTATAATAACTGATCGGCAAGTAAGACACAATCGACCAGATATAGTGGTTCTCGACAAGAAAAAGAAAGAAGGGTTTCTGATTGAAGTGAGCATCCCATTGGACGAAAATGTAGCTAAGGTAAGGACCGATAAAATTACTAAATATCAAGATCTAGCACACAAGCGAAAAAGCACATACCACCTTGCAAAGGTATCCATAATTCCAATCATAATCTCTGCAAACGGAATTGTGGAAAAAGAACCTGCCGAAGTGTTTACAACTTTTGGATATAGAAAACTACAAGAAAATTACCACGCTGGTGCAGAAGGCGACAATACTGGGCACGTGCAACATAGTCCGAAGGGTGATGGCGCATGGAGGAGTCGATGACGAGTAAAGTCCCGTTTGTTCCATGGTGAAAAAGGACCCAACAAAAGTTGTGAGAAGACAAAAAAAGAATAATAATAATAATAACAGCAGGTCTTTATTTATATATTTGTCACTTTAATGGAACGGAGGTGCTGCAAGGAACTACAGAAATAAGCAAAATGAAAAGGAAAAAAAAGTATTAATTGGACGGTTTTAAGACGCTTCCTAAATTCGATATCATCTGGAATGGAATTAAAACATTTAGTAACGTTATAGCTAAAAAACATTGACAGAGGGCAGTATGCAACCGCGGGACAGTGTACAGAGAATAATAACGAGTGGAGCGCTGTTGAATATCAGATCCCTTGACAAGTTTTTCAAAAAGATACTTTGGAGAAAGAATCCTTGGTCTATTTTAAGCCATCCGAATTCACGATAATATGATTAAATGTGATCATATTTCCTGATATAACAAAACCTTAGACCATTATATTGCAGCCTCTGTAGTCTAAATCTGATCTTTGTTGAAGAGGGCAGGCTAGTATACTATATGACAGTATAATAAAATGGAAAAACAAGAGAGTCGCATAACCTTAGTTTGATGAAGGTATTTAAAATATCTTTGAATATATATAGAGTTCTTATTTTCCCATAACTTCGAATCGAAGATTGCTATTAAAAAACACACCCAAACTCTTGCAACAATCGGTAATATTAATGTTCTCATTATTTACAACCCTAAAACCAATATTCTTGAACAAGCTAGAGTTTTTTCCAAAAAATAACCTTAGTTTTCATTTCATTTATGAGAAGAGCACAAGAAATTTTTGAAACAACTCGCAAATCAAAATTAATTTGGCTGTTGGCCAGCACTGAGTTTTCGTACTTAAACGCTAAATATAACTGCATATCATCAGCATACTGATGTGATTTCAAATATTTTAAATGGCCAGCAAGATTCGCGGTGTAGACACAATACAATAAGGGGGTCAATATACTCCCCTGCGGAACTCCCGTGTAATATTAAAAAAGGGCGAATATGAGTCGCATAATGGTATTCCCTAACTTCGTTCACCTAAATAGCTTTAAATGAGACAAATGGCCAACTTATTAAGACCAAAGTAATGGCGTTTAGAGCAAAGAACCTCGTGATTCAGGTTCTCAAAGGCCTTGCTGTAGCCTAGGCAGGTTTCCTTTCCTTCATTGCTACTCTTAAAATATCATCGCTTACGTTCAACATACATTGCACGAAATCGAGACTCTGTGGAAGGGATAACTTCGAGGTGCAAGAAATGTTCATTAAGCTGTTCACACATTATCTTTTCTATCGTTTTCGAAAGCATTGGTGATAAACTTATCGGCTGAAAACTTGACAGTTCACTTGGATTATTGTGTTTTGGAATGGGAATTACATTGGCGCGCTTCCAGAGGTAGGGAAACTTATTAGAAGTTATGCAGCTATTGACTAAAAAGTTATTTGCCCTAGCAAATGGGGAGTTATATAATATCATTTTAATATCAATCCCATCACTATCCCTCGCATTTGTCTTTATCTGTCTTATGGCTCTATCGACTCTCATCTCGTCCGCCCGACAAAAGACAAACTCTCTCAGGTAACCATGAAATCTTGAAGTAGCATACTTGTGCAAGTATATATTATTGCTTTTATCAATGTCAACATCCGAAATACTTTCAATAAAGTAATTATTTGACTATTAGGAGAACCGTTGATATAAAGTAATTTTAAAGAGTGCCAAAATTCACCCGCATCGACTTTAAACGAATGCTGGAGATACGAAATTTCCAAGTTGCTTATATGCATTCCTTGCGACATCAATTTTAGTTTTGCTTAAAGAAAATGAAAATTTAACTGGACCATTCTGTTCGGAATTAAAAAGAGGTGTGCCTCCTTGTTAGGAAAATTTAGAAAAGCAAAATTAACATAATCCTTATAACATAACGTCAACAAAACAGGGCAACATGGCGTGAAAAAACAAAAAAATGTTGGATTTAACCCATTTTGTGCCAGTGGTGCGTTAATGCACCACCTATTCTATGATTTTTTTTGTAACATCCAGGAAATATTTTTGCACATCCATTTATACATTTTATTATTACCCCTTCTAAAAGACATAAAACCGTAGAAATCGCTAATTTATGTGTATATATTACATATGACTTCAAAAGTTAACAAAAGCGGTAAATAAATTTGTATCACATTTTCAAGTAAATCCAAAATAGTAAAAAAAAATATTTTGGATTTGTATTGCAATTTTTGTTAAGTCTGCATGTAGGTTACATCGCAGGAAACATACATTGGAAATACTATATTGATTATGCTTTATTTTTTGAAAATATTTATTGGTGAGTGAATGCACCACTGGTTTTATCTATGAAACAAAACTTTGTTAGTTTGTGTCTTGTGCAGTGAACGTTACAGTTCGTAGAATATGGCAAAAGGAATTAGAGGCGACTATGGAGGAGATCGTAATAGATGACGACAATAACAATGAAAGTCGTAAGTATTATTTAGATATACGTATTCTTATGTATTTTAGCCCATTCCTTGCAAATTTATGCTAAAAATAACGTAAAAAAATATTTACAGAACATATTGACGCGGTCTATATTCCACCCGACGTGGATAGCTTGACTGACGAAGAAGATAAGAGCTATAACAGAAATCTACAAGAATTTGGGGAACCAACTGGTATAGTTGGAACCTTCGAGTTACATACACCGAATGATAGAGCTCTATTTCAACAGTCCTGTAATTCACCAACTACTGAACCAGAATGGGACTCATCAAATGATAAAACCCTGGAATTCAAAAGAAGACATATGCTTTCTGCAAACAACAGGCTTGCTTCTACTGTGAAATGGAAGAAAGATCAGATTGAGTACTGAAATAGGCTTTCTGGAAAAACTCCGCTTGAAATATTTTTTATGTTTTTTGATGACGAAGTGATTGATTTGATTTTAAAATTTTCGGTGAAATATGCTCAAGACAATAACCGCCATGAATTCTCGTTGTCCAAAAATGAACTTTTAAATTGTGTAAGCATTTTATTGTTCTCGGGTTATCATTCATTGCCACATATTTAGCATTATTGGTCTACTGACGAAGACAAAGGAATTGATCTTATAAAAAAATGTACGAGTCGCAATAGAAAAGTTGCACTTATCTGACAATAATCTGTTGGATAAAAATAATAAATTTTGAAAAGTTAGACTCTTCTTTGATGTAATAAATAAAAAAAATCTTCAATTTGGCATATTTTCGTTCAACTTATCAATAGTACAAATGGTACCTTACTTTGGGCGACATTCCTGCAAAATGTTTATAAGGGGTAAGCCAGTTCGTATTGGATTCAAGCTTTGGTGCCTTTGTTCATCTGATGGGTACCTATTTTATTCACTTCCATATGCTAGTGCTTAAAATAAACCTCATTCTGACCTTGGTCTTGGCGGTGACGTTGTCATGAGTCTACTTTCTATTGTAGATAAGCCAGTAAATCACCACCACTAAATGAAACCGGGTGTTATCACCATAAAAATTTTTGCGTTTTTTTGTATGAAATCAAGTTCTATTTGAAAAATAATCTACTTTTAGTTGTTTTCTGTCGAATTTGAAATTTCTTTTGTATATTTATGTATAAATAATGTTACATCTTATGTGTCCTAAAATATTATTTAATGTTTTTTCCCAGTGGTTCGTTTACATACCAGTATTTTTTTGTAGGTTTCGAGTTTTTTTTTACACGTCATGTATTCTTAAGTGCAACAAAATAAATCATTTCAGAGCAAAAAGGTGTTTTATATTTTTTTATGTTTGAGATAATATGGGTTAAAATAACGAGTGTGAAATTTGAAAACAGGTGTACAAGGTCCCTAATAGCTATATGGTTGAATTTTCGTTCGGGGGTAGAGTTTGCGGCGAACGAACAAGAATGATTTCCCCATACATGCCGTCAAAGATTACCTCTCTATTATCTACTCGAGTACGAAGCTATCGTGCAATATCGAGCACGAGGGAACGTAGAGGGGGACGAGCGGTGTTAGCGAAATTATCAGAAGCGATTTCGGCTTGGAACAATAATTCAAACCGAGTTTCCTAATTAAGATAACTTTCGAACAGCCACAGCAGCGGCGGCAGCACCAGAAGTGTCGGGTTCTGTGCCGGTCCGCGTTTCCCGTTGCCGCCGCCGCGGCCTCCGAGGGTGTCAGACGTACAACGACTACGACGACGGCGACGTCAAGCAGCAATGATTAATTGCAACGACGCAACTTAACACAGCCAATCGATAAATCACAATAGGATTAATTAATCGAGATTGCCGCCGCGTCGCGTCCCGTTTCCGCAATATAATTGCGATTACGTGTCCCCCGTGCCATTTTTGTTGCAAAAAAAAAAATGGGGCCGACGCCGCCGCCCGTCGTTTAAAGATTTATGCGGCAAAGCCGATCGGCAATTTAGCAAACTAGTCGACCGGATAAACTGGATTAACCGATTCAGATTGTTGGAAATACTAACTTTCGAGCTGTTTTTCTTGAAAGTGGATTAGTTCCGAACAGTTTTTCGTTCGAGATCCTAATCAGGTGGCAAGGTCAATTGACGTGGGAAAGGGCAGAAAAATTCTTGGATTTGGTGCTGAGCTAAAAAGTATATTTTTTGAATTTATCAATATTTTGCAGGGATCGGAACCGAAATATTCTATGGACGCGTCGTTAACGCATCACTACGTCATAATTACTATAAGTTCAAAATGACATCATTAAACATAATTGTTATTACCAACTAGTACAGTACAGATGTACCTGGATAGATATCTAGTAGAACACTACATTTATAATATAATCGACCTATTTAGTTTTAATTTATCATTTTACGTTAGCTAGGTTCTTGTAGAGTTTTGTTAAACACAGAATTATCACATTCCGTATACGGTGTACTTAAATAGCTTTCTATGGCAGGACTATAGTGGTAAGGAGCACCATCTGGCCAAATTAAATTTAATCAGTCGTACTGAAGATAATAATAATTCAAAAACCGTTGTTTTTCAATTATTATTGAAAAAAATGAGAAACTGATGATACGCTAAGTATGACAGCACTGTAAGATTTTTTCTTCTAAATATTCATGTTGTACAAAATAAAGTTCAAATTGACCCAAGCGAATTTTGTATTTAACTTTTTGTTCAATATCTTCTAGTTCCTGAGATAAGATAGTAATGCCTCATAAACGCGCCACCATGTGCAATACTGTTAATGAAGTCGTTTATTTAAATTAGAACGATATTTTTTAGTTTTGTTTTAATTTTCATTTCACAACTAGTGAGCTAGTGCGGGTACTTAGTGAGTTAAATATTTTTGATCCTTTAATAAAATTTGAGTTTAGAACGCGACTTCGAGTAAAAGTTATTTGTACTAAGAGTTCTAGGTTTCATCTATTGAAGTGTAGGGTTTTCATACATGGATCAACCAAGTTTTTAAGGTACTTATAAACTTATACTATACTAACCTAATACACCAAAGCATCTACATCTCTGAAATTTTTAGTATGTTATTAAAACGAACGAAGTTGATTATTCTATCAAAAGCTTTCTGAATAGTTTTTAGGGTATTTAACACACAGCAATCAAATACGATAGTATGTATCGAGCAACGCAAGAGTTTTAATGTTTCTAACAGTTTTTCAGCAGGTTACTAATTATCAGTCAATCAATCATATTTAGTAGCTTTTTCGTAAGAATTTTATTGGAATTTCGTAAATCCCCCAAATTTTGATTAGTTTTTTTTTGGCTTACCTTTATAAGACTTTTTGCATCGCAATTTCATATGTCCTTAATGCAATGTTATCAATGAAAGGAAGAACGGACGACAATTTTTGCTATTGCCTAAGTGCTGTGAAAGACTTGAGCTTGCAATTCATACGCCGTGTAATGCTGTGCACTACGTGCTTAGGCAACTTTGTCATTCTAAACAGCGATTACCATACACTTAACTTATTATACGAAAACATTTAACGAGATCTAAGCATAGAAGATCTAGAATATACTGCCGTAAAAATGGCGTATCCAAACTTATTGACGACCTGTCAGCGGCTATGTTGGTTGTGAAATGCCGCAAGGGCATTGGATTAGAACCAGGTTTTAAGTCTCGTGCATGCGCATGTTGGATCCACCTTCTTAAAAAATGTTTTATAGTTGCTTCATAAATTCCTGTATTATCGGTATAGGAAGTGCCTCTATACCTCTACTAGCTATTTGATAAAAACCAAGAATGTCGACAAATAAAATTTCCCATACCAAGGCTTACCACATTCGAAAGATTTCTACTCGAACCGCCAAATTGTCAACATTTTGTTTAATTTTTTTAAATCTTTTAATAAGAACTGGGATTTTTTGTTTTTTTTTTTTGTAAAAAAATTCAAAAGTTTTGTGATAAATTCATAAAACATATTAAAAAAAATAGCTTTTCTCTAACTGAACGGAAGCCGAAATATCTTATAATGTTTTGCAAATTCTCTTCACTTTAAACATCACCACTCTGTATGCCTGCAAATATTAAGATAAATGGCTGAATGGCAATTGGAATTCCTAAAAATATAAAAAAAATGGTGTAACCTGGCACCAAATTTTAAAATACTCAATATAGATTTGAAACATCTCCATAAAAAAATGAGTATTCGATTTTCATAAATTATAAGTAACAATAAAACTCAAAAATGAAACTTTCAAACGCAGAATAATGTATTATATATATTTACCTTTGCGAAAATAAAATAAATAATAAATAAAATTTTCCAAAACCACATTTTAAAACATTTTTTTAAATACGTGTGTCATTATATGATAGTCGTTCATATTTTAAACATCATTGAAAAAAGAGTCCGAGTATCGGCAGAGCATGTAGCATTTTTTTTAAACCTAATTAATCATTTTAATTTTAATTAATTATTTTGATGTCTACATTAATGTTGACAAATACCCGCGTAAAGATATAACCATATTTGCCAACTAGATATCTGCCCATGATTTGCTTGCCTAGAAAAAATATTTAGTGCGGACAAAACCAAGTTTGAAAATGTATAATTACTATGTATACCGCGAAACACGTTTCAATATTCTCCTTTAAGCTACAACGGCCTATATTCTCCAAAATATAGAATATCGAAATCCCTAGAAAGCGACGATTCGGACAATCGATATTTGATAAACACCTTCCCATTGTGTTTGGCGAAGTTCCAAAACAACTTTTACTAAAGCCCGGGTTTTCCGACGTTTCCGTTTCGCCGAAAATACATGTTCGACTGTCATTTCGTATCAAAACCTGATTCTAAAATCCGGTTTACTTTTTATCATTTTGACAGATTTGTTTCGGGAGCCTTTGTTCGACAAAAAAAAACACATAAGTAAACTGTTAAAGCTGTGCTGTTTTCTTATTTGCGAACACACAGCGAATGTTGCTTTTGTTTTTTTATTCTTGGTTTTTGATGCCCACAGAACTTTAAACCAGCATCGGAGGAGAGAACAACCTTGAAACATAATTTTAGTGACCTGCCATATTACACTAAAGTAGAAAAACCAAAATTATATCATAATAACCAACTCGTTATGAGAGAATGAATTTTTTCCCTTAGAAGATTACTGGCCATAGCGACATCATAAGGGAAAAATTGGACTAAATAAAAGAATTCTATTGAAAATTTCAGCAAGGCGAATATATTCCTTTTTTAAAAATAAGTTGAACAATTTTCCAGCAATGATCACTTGTAAACCCAAGATTTAGGAAAACTATGATTGATTAGAAGCTATATCGAAAAAAATAATGGGTAAAATTAGAGTTTCTGTATATGTCGCTTCTATATAGTTTTAGTTAAGCTCTGAAAAAGTCTTACAGTGCATAGTGAGCCACGAATCACAAATATTGAGATACCCGAAAAAGCTAAACATTTCTACTACTCACGTTTTAAATCTAAGTTAAAGAGGCAAGTTCTGGAAAGCCATTATTGCTGGTAATCGGTAAATGTTGGTTCAACATATATCAAGCCGCCTTCCCATTTTGCGCGCTGTCAATTTGGAAATTGGTATGGTATATGTAGATTTTAAGGACCGTATCGCCTAAAAATATACCTCAATTTTTTTTTAATCTTAGGACAGTAAGCGTAGGGTTCCTGTATATTTTGCTTCTAATGAGCGGATGGTTTTCAAACTCAGTGTGAATGGTAAAGTCTGTTCATAGATATAAGAAAGTGATTAACTGATACGAATTAAGGAAATACCCGGGCAAGCTGTACGAATGAAATATGGCCGAACAAGTCCGTACTTTGCTTAGAATTTAATTATTTGGGGTTTTGTTAGGAAAGATACTAAACAATATTTATTTATGTATTTATGTTTAAATCTAAAATAAAATTACAAATTATTTTTATTACCTACTTAAATTACTTAAAATCGTTCACATAATATATCAGTATCACTATCGCTATCATCGCCTGTTCTAATTATTATTTGTTCTATATTATTTGCAATATGGATATACGATTGTTCTGCTTTTTCTACATGTTTAACAGAATTTGCCCAACTTTGTGGAGGGATGTTAAAAACTTCGGTTTCTATAAGTTTGAGGACATTGGAGTTAACAAGGGGGAAAACATTGTTACGACGAATGGCAGATTTCAGTTGGTGCCAAACATGTTCAATGGGATTAAATATACAGTGGTAAGTAAGGTCTTAAAACTGTATGCCCTAGATTTTTTGCAAAATTATCACAGGCGCATTCCTTTTGTTGGTTCAAGAACCTCAATTAATTTCTTTTTGGTATAATCTTCGTGAAAATAAATGTCGTTATTATACATGTAGTTTTGGATTGTTGCTTTTGTATCACATGAGGAAGAGGTTTTAGTCAACTGTCTACTGTGATAACTTGCATTGTCCATTACAATTGCGCTATTAGGAGGAATGTTTGGAACTATTTTGTTTTTAAACCAACGTTCAAATAAATCAGCGGTGGTGTCTTCATGGTAATCCAGAGAAGAATCTTTAATATTTTTCGCAGACAGAGAAAGTCCATTTCGAATCCAACCATCTTTAGAGCCGACATGCAAAATAGTTATTCTTTTACCTCTTTTTGATGGCGCGTTTGTTTTATACTTATCAGTTGAGTCAACCCAACCCTTTTGCAGGGTATCATAAGTGTCGAACCAGGTTTCATCCAAGTAAATAATTGGCCTTTGTTGTTCTCTGTAAATCCTAATTTTTTCTAGA